CATAGTAGGTATCCATGCACTGTGGATTTACAGACATGGTATGGAAACTTTTGAATCTAATTTTTAGATTCTCTGATTCTGCCATATGACCATAGCATATAGTGCACAATTCTTCTTTGTTTACCTGTAGAACATACAAAGAGTATATCCACAGTGTCTACAACTCTTAGGCTTCTATTTTCTCCATCAATGTTTGCTGTTTTCACTGTTGCTATGTTACCCTAAATACTGTATATTGGAATAATGGAGTTTCATTTTTATTTCCCCTTCCATTCTCCCTCACAGCGTTATCTGTTTTCTGTCTCTTTCACACACACACACACACACTACACACTCACATTCATACCAACCATCTATAAATGTTTTAGGTTTGACTCTTCTGGGAAAGGAGATTTCTCAAGTATCTTCAGGGCTGAAAGTCCTCACTCTCCCTCACTCTAACCTACTTTCTCCATCTTAGAGTCCCCCTAATACCATACTCAGGTTTTCCCTGGGGTAGTATGAGGGAAGATACGTAGTACAGTGCAAATTACATGGCATTTGGGAAGAAGACACTTGAGTTATAGTCCTAGAGTCAATATTTACAAGCTGGTGAAAAGTTATTTAAAATCCTTGTACTTAATTTTTTTCCCCAGAAATAAAATGTGGAGTAATACTACCTTTCTTCATTCTTTTGAAAAATATTTGGGTGCCTAAACTGTCCCAGGGACTATTCTAAGTGCTGAAGACAGCAGTAAACAAGACCAATAAGATACGTTGTGGATACTTACCAGGATTAAGCAAGAAAATGGCTGTAAAGTGCTTAGAATAGTTACAGACATAGAAAATGTGCTTGGCAATTTTTTGGCTTAGCAGATATTGATTGAGTACCTACAATGTTCTAGTCAGTGTTGTAGCCACTGGGGATACAGTACTGAGTAAGACCAAAGGAAAGAGATAAGAAAATAAACAGGCAAATTATATGAATCAGTTAATTTCAGATATTAATACGTGTTTCTGATTCACATAATCAACAAGAACAAATAAAAGCACTCTGGAGATCAAAGGGAAAGTTTTATTTCAGAAAATCAAATCAAGCGAGCCAATGGAGCAGTAACGCTAGAAGTAAAAAGAGAACCAAAAAGTACTGCCAGGAGTAAAAAGAGAACTAAGCAAATCAACATATGGTGATCAGAACCCATCGGAATACAATACAGAGAGGCAGGACTTGGAAGCCAGCTGGGTAACCAGCAGCCAGCAGGTGGTGCCCATTATTCCTTTCATTGGGAACAGGGGTAGGGGTGGGAGGTGGGAATACTAACAAAGCATTCATGATACTTGGGCTTCTGATAACTCAATGACTCCATAACCAATTATATTTGTGGCTGTTTTTACTCAAAGCATCTGTGATTCTTTTATTCTAGTCCAACCTCACTGCCACCCAAGAAATTCCTACTCTCTTTTTGAGCTGTGATGACCTCGGATTACAGATTCCCAAGGTTAAAAGAAACCACACTAGTCATATCACTTAATCACCTCCTTAGAGTAGGAGATACAATCTCAAATGCAGCCGTGACAGAAAAGGAAGTATGCCGGACCAGGAGTCACAAGATGAAAATTCTAGTGCTGGCTCCCAGGCATTACTGTGTGTTGCCTCTGAGAGTTCCAGGCCCTCTCTTTGATTTGGTTTCCTCATTTACAAATTAGGGATAATGATTCCCCTCTCTCACAGTTGTTATGGGGACTAAACAAAATGGCATATGTGAAAGCTCTTTGTAAACCGAAAACCCTCTAGAAGTGAAAGACATGATTAATCTAGGGGCATGGATAACAGCTGGTTCCCGGGAAAAGCAGCAAGTACTCTGGCTGACTTCTCATGGTTTATTTCGAGGCCCTGGGTAAATCACCACGTCTTTGTGCTCTGGTTTTCTGGCCCCCAGTATGTGCGAGTTAGTCTTGCCCTGAAATGTTCTTCCATGATCCAATGAGTCTTTTCCCAGAAGAAAGCAGTAGAAGTTGTAATAGTTCATAAGTATCTGACTCAACTGACCTTTGGACAAATATATTTGTGTATCTCCAGGTAACCCTAACTTCTGAAGTCTAGACTGCCTGTCTGTTTGTTGTTGATAAAATATAGTTCTTGCCTTTAAGTATGAAAGAATGAGAGCACGTGAAAATTTTAAGATACAGATAAACTAAACAGACCCGTTTGACTTTTTAAAGGGAGGTTGGAAATTTGAAGAAGGCAAAATTAGGTATTGTACCATGATTCATATAATCATTTTTCTTTTTACTTTTGATGAGAAATTTTCACATATTGAGGTATATGGGGTAGCTATTCTGGTTTAAACCTGGTTCAGCCTGAACTAAAGAAGACTGACTTATCGCCTATCAAACGTACACTGTAGTATGCTTTAACCATTAAGATGACGATGCATTCAACATTATCTTAACGTAAAAGAATGCACTCCTTGAAGATAGGAATGCATACTCTCTTCGTACAGATGCCAGTATCCGTACTCCTGAAGATAAGTTTCCTTTCCTGGACATCAGGGTCATGTTGACCTGCTAATCTGTAACTCAATATGTCTTTAAAACTTTGCTGAACATGTATCCTGGGCATGTTTGATGTACATTATTTGTTCTAAAAAGGTATAAAACTGTACTGAAAACCATGCTTCTCCAGAATGCTTTCTTGTTTTGTGGAAACTGCCTTCTGGGGCTAGTAGTCCTCAGCCTGACCCAAGTAAAACTCAGCTTTTCTCTCTTTTCTATCCAATGGTTATTGGGGCCCGGCCCGGTGGCATAGCGGTTATGCACGCATGCTCTGCTGCGGCAGCGCAAGGTTCAGATCCTGGGCGCACACCGACGCACCACTTGTCAAGCCATGCTGTGGCGGTGTCCCATATAAAGTGGAAGAAGATGGGTACGGATGTTAGCCCAGGGCCAGTGTTCCTGAGCAAAAAGAGGAGGATTGGCAACAGATGTTAGCTCAGGGCTAATGTTCCTCACACACACACACAAAAAGAATGGTTATTGGTTATTTGTGTGACACTTCTATCCTTACAGCTCCCTGCTCTCCAGGGATCTACTCAATATTTGGGCAATTTTGCATCCTAATTTAATCACTCAACTCCCTATATGTAGCAAAAATAATTTTTCTATGTTATCTCAAACTGTTTGGGGGCAACATTAAGCTTAATAAGATAGGCTGGGTGTCTAACAAAATAAGGGCCATCTCCAAGATCCCAGCCTTGAGTGAAGACAGAAGCGTATTCCCTCTAAGGCTCTTATTACAGCTGAGTGTGGGAGGATGGAAGCATTAATGTTGGCAGAACGGGAGAAACCAGAGGAAGGAGACATGATCCTTGAATTCTGGCTATTCTGCATGGATTGAGAAGAGGACACAGATAAGACAGACATATGAGCATTTCTATAACTAGAAGCTCTGATATGTGCTGGGAGGAGAGGTTTACAAAGCTAGCTGGCGACAAGGAGAGGAAGTGAGGCCAACTGAGTTCTGCCTTTGCTCTCACAGTCTGGGAGGTCTGAAAAAACTCCCCTGAGAAAGTGACCCTTGAGCTGAGATCTCAGGAGGAAATAACTAAGCATGGAAAGGGGCTGAGGGGAGGAGAGGGCCAAGAGCTTTCCAAGCAGAGGGAACTGTTGGTGCAAAGACCTTGAGCAGGAAGAAGCTTTGCATATTACTGGAAGTGAAAGCACATCAATGAGGCTAAAGAACAGAGCAAGTGGACTAGGGTGAGAGATGATGTTAGAAGGTAGACCATGCATAATCTTGTAGGTCATGCCAGTGACTGTGGTCTCTGTCCTGCTGAGGCTGTTTTTTGAGGTGGTGGGGCAGGTTGTTGTGGTGGTGGTGGTGGTGGTGTTGTGGAGGGGGGGCCTTCTTGAGGTGTTTTTTCCGAGGTGGTATCGTGGCGAGTTGTTGCTGGTTTGTTTGATAGGAGGGGTGGGGGGGGAGGTGGGTGGGTGGTTGCTGGGTTGTTTCTTGCTTGCGTGGGTGGGGTTTCTTTCTGTGATTTGTGTTTGGTTCTGCTCTGTCTGTTTGCTGTTTTTTTTTTTGTGCGTGGTGGGTGGGTCCGTTTCTGTCCCGTCATGTACTTTTCTTTTTTCTTTTCTTTAGCGGCTCGTCTTCTGTTCGTAGGTTGATTGGTTGGGTGCGGGGGGAGAGGCTGAGCTGGGCGGGCGGCGAGGCCGGGGGGATGGGGGGAGGGGGGGGAGAGTCGAGTGCTGTTCTTTTCCTCGGAGTGGGGTCAGGGAGGGGAGAGGGGGTGGGGGGGGGTGGGCCCGGGGAGGGTGAGGGGGGGGGGAGGGAGGGAGAGATGCGTGAGGAGGGGGTGTGGGCACTCTGGTGTGGGAGTCTTTTGGTATGTTAGCGCTCTAGAGTCCTATCGCCCCTCCTGTCCTCTTCTCTCTGTGTGCCTGTGAGAATTTTTTTTTTTGTTTTTTTTTTTTTTTAGATGTGTTATTTTTGCTTTTGTAGATTTTTTGGGAGATATAAAAATGTGTAGTGCATTTTAATCTCCCCTGTTGTTTTTGTGTCTAGAGATCTGCTGTTCTGCTCTGTGGTTTTTTTTTCTTTTTTTTTTTTTTTTTGTTTTTTTCATGTTTTTGGTTTTATCCTATATATACCTGTGTGTGTTGCTTTTTTAACTTTTATATTATTTTTGTAGCTTTTCCCACGCTTTTCGCACTCTTCAATAAAACAGGAGATTTAGACAAGCCGGTTGTGAGCAATACTGAAGAGAGTGGCGGCGTCAGCACTCCTTGGACCCCGACCAAGGCTCTTTGCTGCTCAAATAGCTGACGGCGAGGCAGGCCACCTGACACACGACAAACGGATCCCTCGACTGGACTGGAAGCAAACCCAGGGCAAGCCAGAGTGGGAGTTTTGCCTGTTTCTGGGCTTGGGAAAAGGCCACCAACCAGGTCAAGAGTGCAGCTGTTGAGAGACCTGCGCTGGGGAGGCGGGGCTGGGGGTGGGGGAAGGAGATCGCAGGTCGGGGCCCAGTGCTCCCAGCTCCTCGAGGCTCCCACGCCCAGCGACATGAGGTGCCTGCTGTTTCTGCTGCTCTGGGGGCTCCCCCAGATTTGGAGAAGTTCTGAGGGTGAGTGGGACGAGGGCGCCGGGTTCGCGCAGGGGAGCGCGGAGAGAGGGAGCGGGGCTGGGAAAGGAAGCGACGCCTGACGGCGGCGGGTGGAGACCGATCCGTCTCGGAAGCCGGGGAGCCGCGAGCTCGCGGGCGTGATCCGGCGCAGAACCCGCTGCTCCCGGCCTCCGGCCCCCGCCTCCGGGAGGGGGAGCGCGGCTCAGAGCTACCCGCCTCCCCGGCCCACCTGTTGTGTTTGTTTTCTTTCTCCCCTCTCCTCTCGCTCTCTGCTCTCTGGGCACTCGCTAGGCTCCTCCAATCTCCGTTCTCTCCCAGTCCCGCAAAGGAATTTCCCGTTCCGCTGCCTCCAGATCTCGTCCTTCCTCAACCGCAGCTGGGCGCGCACGGACGGCTTGGCGTGGCTCGGGGAGCTGCAGCCCTTCGTGTGGAGCAACGACTCGGACACTATCCGCTTCCTAAAGCCCTGGTCCCAGGGCAAATTCAGCGACCAGCAGTGGGAGATTTTGCAGCATCTGTTTTGGGTTTATCGAAGCAGCTTCACCAGGGACATACAGGAATTCGTCAAAATGCTGCAAATAGCCTGTGAGCTGAGGGATGGGATCCTGGGCAGCTACCCAAGGGGAGACGGTGGACGCAGAAGCCCAACTGGGAGACTCTGACCCCACCTAATAAGACTCTCTGCTCTCTCCACTCTCTTCTGATGTCTACTTCTGCCTGAGACGTCCCAGCCTCTGACTCCTCAAAATATTCCTTGTTCCCCCTGCTCCGGGTCACCCACTCCCATTCCCCTGAACTCTGGGTCCCCAGTGTAACCCACACACCAGAGTCTTCTCCTTGATCCCTTCCAATCTTTATGCCCTTCTTTGACCTCCATTCCTGCCCTCAGATCCCTTGGAGATCCAGGTGTCTGCTGGATGTGAGGTGCACCCTGGCAACACCTCAGAAAGCTTCTTCCATATAGCATTACAAGGAAGAGATATCCTGAGTTTCCAAGGAACTTCTTGGGTGCCAGCCCCATATGCCCCACAGTGGGTCAAGAAAATCAGCAAGCAGCTCAACTATGACCAAGGGACCAAGGAAGCAGTGCAGTTGCTCCTCAATGACACCTGCCCCAAATTTGTCAGAGGCCTCCTTGAGACAGGGAGGTCAGAACTGGACAAGCAAGGTGAGCCTGCCCCTCTTACCCCCTGCCACCAACTCCTGGGCTCCATCTGGATTTTTCCATTCCAGGCTTCACTTCTCTTTGAGCACTGGGGGAAGAGAGAGGAGGGGATGGGTAAGGCATGAGGGTATTTATTCATTCCACACATGTTATCTGAGCCCGCTTTGGGTTCTATGAATAGAATCAAATAAACACTGGGGTTCAAACAGGATCTTTGCTTGAGAGGGAGGATGAGAAGACAGGTTAACAATTAAAGCAGTGTTTGAAACATGGTGCACGTGTTACAGCTGAACACAGGGTGCTACAGGAGTACAGAGCAGCGGCATTTACAGGAGACAGGATCAGGGAAGGAGCATGAGTATCAGGGAAGCCTTTCCTGGAGAAGATAACACAAACAGAGTGATGTTATGAGAGACTTCATCTCCAGAGGTGGAAATATGGGACTCATGAGCCTGCTGTGAGGCCTGGAGCCTCTAAAGCAGAGCCTCACTCTAAGATCCCCCATTCCCTTGTTGGATACAGTGAAGCCTGAGGCCTGGCTGTCCAGTGGCCCTACTCCTGGGTCTGGCCATCTGCTGCTGGTGTGCCATGTTTCAGGATTCTACCCAAAGCCTGTGTGGGTGATGTGGATGCGGGGTGAGCAGGAGCAGCCGGGCACTCAGCAAGGTGACGTCCTGCCCAATGCTGATGAAACGTGGCATCTCCGAGTAACCCTGGATGTGGCAGCAGAGGAGGCGGCCGGCCTGACTTGCCGAGTGAGGCACAGCAGTCTAGGAGGCCAGGACATCATCCTCTACTGGGGTGAGAAAGACCGGGGGCCCAGCTGGAAATGGGAGGAGATGGTTCTCAAGCATAGAGGGAGGGAGTGGGGAAAGGGTGGGACTTGACACAACCAGGACAGAGCAGTTCCAAGATTAGGCGTCTCAGCAGCAGGGATGGAAGGAGGGGATGCCAGATACAGGAAGGAGGGGAATAAAGATCTGAGCTCAAAGAGGATTGAGACAGGATGTTCCACATACAAGAAAAGTGAGACTAGAAAACTCGCAGATCCCGAAGTAGGCAGCAAGTAAAGAATCTCAGGAGGATTCATGCCTCAGGAGAGGGAGCTGGGACCTTCGAATGGGAGGGTGACACCTGTAGCTGTGGTTCACTGAGTGCTTCCTGTGTGTGGGCTGAGCACTCTCATACAGCAATTCATCTAATCATCCAACTGTCGTTTGAAGCAGGTGCTACTGTTCTCATTTCATAGATGAGGAAATTGAGGCTGAGCTAGGTCAGGTAATCTACCCAGAGTCTCACTGTTAGAAATATGGAAGAGCTGGATTTAGACTCAGATCTGCCTAGCTACGAAATGCTTGCCTCTCCCGTGTATGCTGTACTGTCATGTGCTGAAGTGGACTGAATTACCAATGCCCAGACCATGAGAAAGACAAGGCATCTAAACTTCAGAGGAATAGAAGTGGGTGCTTTCAATGGGGGAGGAACTAAGAAGCACCTGGCATCCTCACCTGTGCTTAGACCAGGGGACTTGGAATAGTGAGGGATCCTGGCTTGAGAGGCATCCTGTGTTCCCCCAGCAGAGCGGAGCCGTGCTTCCGTGGGCTTGATCGCCGGGGCAATACTCGTGTCCCTCCTGATCGGTGGAGGCTTATTAACCTTCTGGTTTAAGAAGCGCTGGTAAGTCTCCCCTTTCCATCTCCTCCTTCCCTCAACCTCTCTCCCCATATCTTCTCCTCTCCCCTTTTCCTCAATGGTCTCTCCCTTTCTATTCTCTCACAGCTCCTATCAAGACATCCTGTGACTGTCCTTGCCACACTTGTCTGTCTGGAACTCAGGACCTCAGGTTCTGAGGACTTCAGTGCTCGGGAATTGAGAGTAAAAGAAAGGACTTTGAAGAAGGGGAGAACAGTCATAAAGCAGCTCTCATCACATCCTTTTAACATTTTTATCTAAGAAGATTTAAGTTCTTTTTCCGTATGCTACAAGTTTATGAGCCCAAGTGATTCTGTGAAAATGGAAGTGCACCCTCAGGTGCCTACCAAGGGCAAGCAGACAAGGGCCGTGGTGTAAGGGCGTGCGTGCTCAGTGTTTGAATGATGGAATCTCCAGTCAGCTGGAAAGCACTTGTCCTGTCCAAAGAAAGCAGGTCCAACTGCTTGTCGTCAAGTATAAAGTAAGACCCTGGGTTGGCTGTAACGTACATTTTTCAAGAAAAGTGGAAGACTGGATTTTTATGTGAACATGCCTGATATTAAAATGTTGACTCAAA